AACCTGAAGCCAACTCATCAATTTGGATATTTTTCAAAGAGCTACAACTATAAAAGCATTAAAGAGCTATTGATTCTTTTGATATTCTGTGAACTCATGTTTCTGATTTGATTCGATTGTGAGCTTGAATTAAGGGGTAATGTTTTACGAAATTCTTATATTCTTTTTTTTCTAAAATAAAAGAAAGGAGAAAAACATTTTCAAACAGGACAGTCTCAAATGTGAAAGGTCCTTGAAGCTGGTGAGGCTAATTTTGCCTCAATTGAAGAAATGATAAACAATACCAGAATAATGGAGCATTTCACATTCTTGAAAGTAAATAGTCCGAGAAACCATATAGAACTTGTAACACTCCCTTGTGACATTGCCAACAGCCCGAGAAGAAAATGGAGCATGATAGATTCAAAGGACCAGATCGATAGACAAAGAATGAGACTCTATTCAGGAGAGAAAACATAACTAATTCATGTGCATGCATCTTAGACATACTTAAAGGCATCACATTTATCATTTTTCGCATATATAATTTTTTGCAGCTTTAGAGTCAAGTTTCAACTTCAAGACAAAAGATACTCGATTCAGAAGCACCTTCAAAAATCGATGGTGGTTGCTTAACTCAGTGGCGAGGAGCTACACCTAAACCAACTTGACATTTTGAAAGATCGACAAATCTTAGAATCAAATTCAAATGGGTTTGAGCACCAATTCAGAACTGATACAGTTCATCCTAACTCAACTATGAGTGGCTAGTTTCCAGTTAACATTTTCAAGCTAGATTTCAACTCCACGACGAATGATATTCGGCTGATAGAATATACCACTTGGATTTCCAGTGAAGGGGAGTCATTTAAAGAATTATGACCTGCTTAGACCCGTGAAGGGGAGTCATTCTTCACTTAAATGAACTGTTCGCAGCATAGCTCAAGGAGAAAAGGGCTATCTGTTAACAAAAACCTTCGAGTTCGATTACATTCAGCTCAAGGGCATATCAAATTTACAGTATAGCTCAAGGCAACAAGGGCTATTTGTCAGCAAAAAACTTTCGAGTTTGATTTCATTCAACTCAAAGGGCTTATCAAGTTTACAACATAGCTCAAGGCAAGAAGGGCTATATGTAAACAAAAATCTTCAAGTTCGATTCCATTCAGCTCGAGGGCATATCCAATTTACAACATAACTCATTACGAGAAGGGATATTTGTTAATAAAAAACTGTCGAGTTCGATTCCATTCTGCTTGATGACATATCAATTGCATGGTATCAATGAAGAACTACTTTCCGGTTGAAGTTTAAACTGAGGTCTTTAAGTCAAGAGGAATATCTGGGGCAATCTCTCAGCTTAGTACAACATAACTCAAGGCGAGAAGGGTTATCAGTCAACAAAAGCTTTCGAGTTCAATTCCATTCAGCTCGATGCCCTATCAACCACATGGTAGTGTCGAGGAACTACTTTCCAGTCGAATTTGCAAACCAAGATCTTTAAACCGAGAAGAAGACCAAGGTTGACTATGACTTGACAACAAGAAGCCACATTCTGATTCAAATTCCGAACTATAGTTTTAATTTCATGAAGAAGGATATCCTTTTAAGACTGACTCTACTTCACGACGGATGAGTCATTCGCAACTCAATTTAATAGGGAGTTATTCATAATTGCAACATCAAAGTCAATTTTCAACTCCACAAATGAGGATAGTAGACTCAGAAACCCCTTCATATCAAACAAAAATCGCTATCCTTTTATCTTTGTCCTATTTTTTGTTACACGAAAAAGGACAAAGAGGGGCAGCTGTAGACACTCATTTTTGTTCGGAGCGTTTGTTTTATATATATGTTAATTTTTTATAGTTTTTAGAAAATGGTTTTTTGAAAATATATAATATATACTTTTTTTAAAAAAAAATCGATTTTCGAAAATATATAACATATAGTTTTGAAAATATATATTATATAATTTTGAAAATATTTTTTGAAAACATATATATAATATATAGTTTTTGAAAACATTTTAAATATATATATATAATATAGTTTTTAAAAATATTTTGAAAACATATATATAATATATAGTTTTTGAAAACATTTTACATATATATATATATATATATAATATATAGTTTTTAAAAATATTTTGAAAATATATATAATATATAGTTTTGAAAATATTTTTGAAGATGTATATAATATATAGTTTTGAAAATATTGTTGAAAATATATATATGTTTAAAAACAATTTTTGAAAATATATATTATATGGTTTTGAAAACAATTTTTAAAAAAACAAATATGATATATAGTTTTAAAAACGATTTTTTATATATTATATTAATATTATTTATTATTTTATTAATATTATTTTTCTTTTATTTGATTTTTGTTTTAGGTCCAATAAGGGTCCAAGTCAAGGCCTGCCTGACTGCCCGGGTTAAAGCCTAATGTACATTTAAGGTTTTAAAACTTATCCAAAGCGCAGCTGATTGAGGGCCTTTAGATCTGGCCCTCTGATCTAACGGTCCAGATTTCACCAGAGGTTCCCAACGGACGTTTCAATGGCGCATATAAGCACCGAGATTTCCGGCCAAGCAAATTGGGACTGGACCATCCTGAGATTCTTTGCCAACAACGAGCAGTAACCATGATAATCAGAAACGGCCACCGGTGGAGGGGATATAAATATCCCACCTAGCCACCAAGGAGGATCACGAAAAAACAACACAATACATCGGAGATCGAACAGGAAAAAGGCAACCAAACCACCAATATCACAAGCAAAATTAAAGCAAGATATAACAAGCAAAAAAATCGAAGCCAACCAACGTTACACAAACAAAATAACGAAGCATCCTTTACAAAAATCAAGATATAAGGCAATCTGTTGGCGCATGGAAAAGCACCACCGTGAGGAACGAGGACGTCGAAATACGAAAGCTTAATAGGTAAAAATCGAACATTTCACCTTAGATCTACGCCGTTTAGGGGTTTTTTTTTGTGAGATTTGGGGTTTAGTTTTGACATTGGGGTAGTGTGGAGAATATTTTAGGGGTGTTTTTAATTTTTTCGGCCACTGGAGGTGGTGGCCAGAGCGGCGGCGGACGGTAGTTGGCCAGCGGAGCAGTGATTGGGTTTTCGACCGACTAGGCGAAGGGTTGAGAGTGTTTTGGGAGAGTGTTTTTTGAGGTTTTAGGTTAAAATGAGTTTTTCTCGATTTAGGGCTATTTATAGCTGAGGGACTTGTATGTAATTAGCTAATAGTTAAATTATATTCATAGTCCCTTAAGTTTTGAAGTGTAATTCATTTTTGTCACCTGTTTCAATTTTGCCTTCGAATTTTCAATTTATTCAATTTAATCATTGTTTATATTTTGCGAAATTACCCCCTAATTTTGTTTATTTCTCTTGTAGTTCATTTTTAGCATTAATTTCAGTCCATAAATTCATTCAATTTGATTCTTTGATTTTCATCTATTTATGTATTTATTTATTTTTCGATTTTTTTGTATTTTTATTAACATTTATTTTCTTAACTTTTTTTTATTTTTTCACTTTCAAAATTTAACTTTTTTATTTTAATATTCATCTCAATTTTATTTATCTTTATTTTTTATCTTTTTTTATATTTATATATTTCACAATTTAATATTCATTTTCGAATTTTTAGGGATAATTTTAACTAATCAAAGGTAAGTAATTTGAATCGAGTTTTTAAATTTCAATTTAAATTTCAATTTTCGCAATTAAGACAACCAACAAATTAAATGGTACCGAAAGGGCAGTTCAATGATGCTAATCCTTCATTGACTGTAACTGACTCCTGAATCTGACATATTTCTGGTAAAACACAGATAAGGTAAGATGGTGTTCGATCAACCTAAATATTATTTTTAAAATGATCGGTGGTGACTCTAACATGATTTATCTAAGTCGAAGCCCAATTCCAGGCCCACCCGAATGACAACCGCGACAATAAGAATTCGAACTTGAAACCTGCTTAAATGAAATTGGTTACCACTTGAATCAATCTCGTTGATATTTGGACAATCATTTTAATTAGTGAGTCTCGTTAAAATGTGTGTAATTGGAGTAGTCAATTATGCTCTTCAATTTTTTTTAATTAATTTAGGGTAAGTACAAGGTAGTATATGTTTAAAGATAACTCCCAACTATTTGACATTAGACGCTCACACCCTTAGCATTTATAGTGTTCAAAACTGAGATCTTATAAAATAATAACAATTCCTTTACTACCGGTCATCGAAGTCGCTTGGTTCGTGTTGCTCTTCAATCTCTAATAGATGAATGGAAATTGATATAATCACGTTGATAATTATACTCTTCAATTTATAATTAATATTATTTCAAAATTTAAACTTTTATATTTATATAATTACAATTTATACTACTAAATATCACATAGAGAATTAAGATGTAATTATATTTTATTAGTTACACATATCTAAAAGACTAAATTTTCTTATAATTATACTAGTGTAATTATTAAGTAATTATATTTCTATGCAATTACATTGTTGTATCTAAACGTTTCTTAAATAAAAAAAATCTAACATGTATTTGTATAATATATTATTAAAAGAACAAAAAATAGAAAAATAATTAATTTTTAAGGAAGACAAATAATATTCATGGCATTTTAAATATAAACTTACACTAATAAAAAAAATAAACTTACGTGTAGTATTTAAAAAAATGAAAAAAAATATGTTTAACGAATGCTTATATTATATTATAATATATTTTATAATTTAATTAATAATAATAAATATATTAAACTTTTATGTTTTAATTTAAAAATAAGAAAAAATAATAAAGATAAATTCTTTAAAAAATAAACCTGAAGAATAAATAAATATTTTTTAAACTATAAAGAATAAATATATTTATACAAATCTTAAGTGCAAAATATCATTTATCCCAAAAAATAATTTTATTTTTTATTTCAAGAATAAAAGAAAGAAACAATAGGCCATCAGTGGCTAAATAAATTATACAGGATTGAGGAATAAATTAAGAAATATGCTTTCAACCATTAGCTGCATGATCATGCATTTGACCCTCTTTATTGACTTGGACGATTGTAAGATTCTCCCGGCCAAAGCTCTGCCTCGGAACGCCCTCCGATTCCTGAGTTCTCCGATGGCATTGAAATCTTCCGAATGGCGGCTGGTGTCGATGATTTGGGTAACTTGTTCAACAACCACCGCCGGTTCCTCTTCCTTCTCGTCAGCAAGTAAATGCGGGGGTGGGCATTGCAAGTCATCATCATCTTCCCACTCTTCAATATCCAAACCCCATTCGTTATAATCAGCCCCAGCCATTGCTAAAGCTTCAATTGATACCGTCATGATTAATTAATCAAATTCTCTGTTCTCTTAAGAAATGCTGGAATATCTAATTGCACACAATCGAAACTCCTATATATATATGTATATAACTTGCCCATCAAAAATGAGTTTGACAATCTTCTTTGAATTCAATTCACGGGGAAAATGGGAACTTTTGCTTCTGATGAACTTTGAAGGTTGAAAATTTTGATTGGGAAAATGGGAAATGTGTATCCGATAAGATGTGGCACTAAATTCTTGTGAATAATTTGTTTGACCAAAATATGTCTTTGAACTCAATGTTCTTTGCTGACGCATCCTGATTTCCAGGTGATTGAAGCAATGATGAAAAGCTTAAGACCGGCATTATATCGATTTTCTTTTCTTTTCTTTCTCTGAGAATTAATGAGAGTACTCATGGATCAATAACATGTGGGAAAATGTTAGCGGTTTCATTTTTTTTGAATTGGTTTAAATGGCTGGATTTTACTATCAGCCGAAGTCAATGTTCCGCAAGATTTATGAAGCTCTAACCGATCATTTATTTAAGGCTCAATACAAAAGTTTTGACATTTACTTTTATACATCAAGCTTTTATATAACGTAGGTGAAAATTTACGTTCTAATCATTTTTGTTCTGGAGTTATATTATCTTAATCATTCAACGCGAAATTAGAAAATTTAATTTGAATTTGTCGAAACGGTTTTTGTCCCGGGTGAGATTTTGGAAATCACACCAATTTTTAATTATTCTCTTTACGATTGAATTTTAATTAAAAACAATGTGATTTTAGAAAACCTCTTGTTTCGAAAATTTGGGAATTCATTCACGATAAAAATACGGGTTCGAAGAGTCGCCACCAATCTTTGATTAGGGTGTGATTGGGCACCCAAAAATGTTTTGCCATTTTAAATAAAAAAATAATAATTTTAATTAAAACAACAAATTTAGGTCTGCATTACCAAAATTCGAGTTCGGGAGTCGGTTACGCGTGGGGAAGGATTAGCACCCCCACAGCGCCCTAAATCGGTACCTGTCGATTAATTAATGTCTTTGCAATGAAATTTACAAATTCGAGTTTAATTTGATTTATGATCCCCGACAAAACACCACATGAATTTTACAAAATTCAAAAGCACCCAAAATAGATTGAATTAAAATTACCAGGCCTTTAGAAAGATAAAGAATATTCGATTATTTACAAATATCGAGACCAGATCTTAGAAGTTCTAACTATCTTTTCTCGATAAATTTAAATAGCCGAATATTTCTTTTTCTTCCGTTCCCAATTTTAAAAGCGATAAATTAATTTCTTAGGTGTCACTGATGGAATATACTTTTAATTTAAAATCATCAAAAGCGGATATCTAATCAGTTAAGACAACCCACTTAAAATAATTTTAAATTAAAAAGATATTACCTTTAATTAAATTATGTAAATACATTGAGTTTATGCACGTGAGGCTAACATGCAATCATACTAAAATGATGTCATAAAAATTAATTAAACCAATATTTTAAAATATCATGCAATGTGACATTTCCAAAAATTATATACATTTTATAACTAAAAATATACTATATACATAGTTATATTTAATGAACAATATGACCTAAACAAAACAAACGAAAACATAACACAACAAATTATAAATTTCAGAAAATAAATATTTATTAAAACGAGGACTAATGATATCAAATAAAACTTTAATAACCTAATTATAAATAAAATACGAATTAAGGTAGAAATGCTAGTATTATACCATATTAAATACTAAGAACTGAAATGAAACTATTCCTATTGCAGGGGACTAAAAACAGAATAAATCCCAACACACTCATGACTAAAGTGCAACATGCAAAAATGAAGGTCAAATATCTAACAACAGAAAATAACAAATCAACACTAGGACGAAAATTAAATGAACCATAAATAAATAGACAGAATTAAAAACATGCAAACTTCGACCTAGGGACTAAAATGAAACATGCAAAATTAACAGTTCAATGTATAAAGAACAGAAGCTAAATACAATACCACTCAGGACTAAAATTGAATACGCGTAAAATGGAGACGAAATCAAAAACACAAAACACCTATTTAAGGACTAAAATGTATTAAGCTGCAAATGAAAATGACTCATATGGAAAATGACCCAAGCGCAAAACATGAACCTTAAGGATTAAATGGTAAAAACGAAAATAAAAGGTTAAAATAAAAATAACAGAAATTAAAGTGTGAAATCAGGAAAGATACAAAGATAACCGTCCGGATGTATTTTCTTTGATCTGCCGTCATCCACCGTCCGATTGTCCTGATTTTTCAATATGTTGTTCGTGATGGCCTTCCGCAACTTTTCACCGTTCGGAATATTGATCGCAGATTCCAATAACCGGCAAGAGGCTAAAAACTGCCCGAATTTGTTTTCTCCGATCCGTCACCGTCCACCGTCTGATCGTCCTGATTTTTCAATATGTTGTTCGTGATGGCCTTCCGCAACTTTTGACCGTTCGGAATATTGATCGGAGATCCTGATCTCCGGCGAGAATCTGACAGATTACAAGAAGTGTTGTTTTCTATTATTTTTTTTTTCCTCCTTCCTCTCACGTTTTGGCCTCCTCTCCGTATGTCTATGGTCTCCTCCTCCCACGAGCCCCCTTCTTTATTCATTTCCACTGAATCCCACTTGTCCTTTTGCATCTTAATTTCCTTGCATTTGGTGAAGTTTTGATAAGTTTAGGTATGATTAATTGATTTTTTCCTCTTTTTTCTTCTATCTCCAGGAAAGAGAGACCTTTACAAACAAATTTGTTTTCTTTTTTCTTGATGGCCCCCCCACGTTAGTCTCCCCTCATCAATCTCCTTAAAGTGGTTGCATTCTTCTCCTTTTATTTTCTGTGGGATAATAACATTTAGGGTGGGTATAATTTGGTTGAAGTAGGTGAATAATTTAGGGTAGGTAATGAATTATCCGGATAAATCAAGCATCTACAGCTGCCCCTCTTTGCTCATTATCGTGTAACGAGAATAGAGAAAAGATCAAAAGATGGTTAAATTTGTCCGGTCATGATAAATTCAAAAGATTAATCTGCTTCATCGTAACTAAATGAGACTTGAAAAATCTTCGGAAAACGTGTCCGCTCTCTATTCTTTCAGAGAGTATAAGACTCAAACAATCTTCAATAATCGTGTCTGCTCCCTATTCCTTCAAAGAGTATAAGACTCGAACAATCTTCAACGATCGTGTCTGCTCCCTATTTCTTCAGAGAGTATAAGACTCGAACAATCTTCAACAGTCGTGTCTACTCCCTATTTCTTCAGAGAGAGTATAAGACTCGAACAATATTCAACAATCGGGTTCGCTCCCTCTTTCTTTCAGGCAGTATAGAACTCGAATAATCTTCTTACGGGGTTCACTCCCTCTTTCTCTAGGAAGTATGGAACTCGAAAATCTTCTTCAAACGGGTTCGCTCCCTCTTTCTCTAGGGAGTATGGAACTCAAACATCTTTCAAACGGGTTCGCTCCTTCTTTCTTTAAGGAGTATGGAACTCGATATCTTCACACGGGTTCGCTCCCTCTTTCTCTAGGAAGTATGGAACTTGGAAATCTTCTTCAAACGGGTTCGCTTCCTCTTTCTCTAGGGAGTATAGAACTCGGACATCTTCTTCAAACGGGTTCGCTCCCTTTCTCTAGGGAGTATAGAACTCGGACATCTTCTTCAAACGGGTTCGCTCCCTCTTTCTCTAGGGAGTATGGAACTCGTACATCTTCTTCAAACGGGTTCGCTCCCTCTTTCTCTAGGGAGTATGGAACTCGGATATTTTCTTCAAACGGGTTCGCTTCCTCTTTCTCTAAGGAGTATAGAACTCGGACATCTTCTTCAAACTGGTTCGCTCCCTCTTTCTTTAAGGAGTATAAAACTCGTACCTCTTCTTCAAACGGGTTCGCTCCCTCTTTCTTCAGGAGTATGAAACTCGAACAATCTTCAAACGGGTTCGCTCCCTTTTTCTCTAGGGAGTATGGAACTCGAAAATCTTCTTTTGCTTCACTATTTTTTTTTGTGAAGGCTTTAGTTTGATTTACTCCAAAGTTTGAACCTGAAAATCAAATATTATCAATCATTAATGTATGCTTGATGATTCGAAAAACATTATACTCAATTTAGAATTTAAGAGAATCTTTTCGAATTCATTTCTCTGGTGAGAGCTTGTCTCGCCGCAATTAAATGCGAGAGTCTTCCTTGACTTGACTGTCATTTGAACCTCTCCATTCCTGAGACCTTGAATCGTTTAATGACTCATCACGTGCGTTTCTTTTTAATCACTTGACCAGTTTATTTGTACTCGAAAACTTTTACTTTTTCTCCTACGTCTGATGGTCTGATAGTTTGCTCCAACACTCTTATGAGAAGGCTTAAAATGGATTTCCTTCACGACTCTTTGATGAAGACACAATGGTTTGCTTCATTATTCTTTGGTGCATGCTTAAGACGGTTTGCTTCACTACTCTTTAGTGAAGGCTTAAGATTGACTTTGCTCCAATCTCATGTGTGCAAGTCTTTCTTCATACACGAATCTTTTTTTTTCTACATCTGATGGTCTTCACTTCAAGCAATGCTTCTTCTATGGATTAGACCTCTCTGTTCTTCAGGGTATGTCTCTTTAAACGTAACTCCTTGTATTGAGGCTTGAAATCTTCATTTCAACTTGGGATTTTAACATCCTGCATCTTCTCTTTTCAATGGAAAACCTGTCAAAATCATGTGTTTATGCATGAAACATGAATACAATTAAATGTATCAGTGTAATGCATTATCTTTTATGCAAATGATGTTCTCATGAATGCATAAACGTTGAATCAATCTTCACTTGGCTCCAAGTGGTGAGCTCGGTCTTCTTCCGTTTGATCATTCTTTTCCAGGGTTTGCTTTAGACACCCATGCAATGACTCATAATTTCCAACTGGCATTTCTAAAGAGCCCTCTGATCTTCTTCTATCGCCTTTGTCTTCAGTCATTT